TCAGCAGGCCAAAGGTAGCAGCAGCATCACTGAACAGGTTGGGCTGCATTCAGTGCTCAGGCTGCAGCTGGAATAGATGGAAGTGTGCTGGGAGATTCAGCCTCTGAGCTGACAGGCCTTGCTAACACCAGCCACATTTACAGCAAGTTCCTGAGTCACTTCTTTAACTGAATTTAGCTGTAATATTACCACCCAATCACTAGTAAGTTGCACTGGAAGCTCCTGCAACTTTAAGTCGGCTGCTTCATTTTGCAGGATTTTTCATAGCAACACAATGCTTCTGTCAGCCAGGCCTAATGGTAGAAATGTAGGATTAAGCCTGGTTTAAATAATGACACATGATTAGAATAGCAATGGGGATTTTTCCATCTCTAGGATAACTCTCTTTCATGAATGCTGTAAGTGAATTTGCTTTGGGGAAAATAAACACAGCTCATCAACACAGCAGGAGAAGGGAAAATATCACTATCCTGGTATGAACTCCAGTTTCCTATATTGCTTTCCAAATGTTTTAGGAAAAAAACAATTCCTTTTGTTGACATATCAACAGAATAGAAGTCTGGTAAAGAGAGAAGTTACACTAGAGATTTCTGAGGAGCTGGAAGGGTAGGAGGAACTAATTATGTTGTCTTGCAAGCTTCAGTACCCATGAGTTGCAGCTGCTCGTTCAAGTGAATCAGTCTTTCTTGGAAAGGATTTCACACACCTTCATTGAGTCAAGACTTTGACTCATGCCCCCAAGTAACAAAGGCCTTATGTTTAAGCTTCATTTAGCACATTCGAACACTAACTTATGGGAACAAGCAGATGGATGATGTAAACGAAGATTAAAGTATTGTAATTGAATGGAAGCATAAAAATTCCTGTGGGACCCTCTAAAACAAATGTTCAATTGCACTGTAAAGAGGGCTATGAACAATATTTATAATACTTATTTTTGTTAGCTGTAGAACTCCACTACTTGAAATAAAACTAGACTAAAAAGTTCTACTTTCACTTGAGTTTCAGAACACTCTAAATGATGTTTTGAATGGCTAAGAAGTGAACGCTAACTCCTCTCCATCAGTTAGTTACCAGTTTTGATTATAATTTAAAAGTGCAACAGTTTGTGTTTTATGGGAGAGGGCTGCTTTGGTTTGGGTTTTATAGAAAGCCCACTGGGACCGGTCCGTTCCTCCCTCATGCAACATAATTCTATACGTAAGCTTTGTAACCTGCCTTAAGAATCAAAATAAAAATACATTCTTTTCTAAGAAAAATGAGTATAATTTTCTGTTCATTTATAGTAAGCTTAAGTCTACAAAAAGGATTATTTTATAACATTTTTTTAACAAGGCCTTTTAGTATGGTGCCTACAGTGTTCTCTGCCATACAGCAGGCTGACAAAAAGCAGGAGCAGCTTTCACATAGGAATACACTTGTAGTTTTTCTAGAGATGTGGGAAAACGCACTATGAGTGAACCTGGGCGCACTTTTCATCTCGTGAAGCAACAAGTGTCTGGGAATATGATTTGTACCTAAGGTTCAAGATAGGGAATGCTGCAAGGAAGTTAAGCCTCAGTCCCTGCTCAGGCTCCAATTCACCTCAGTGCTGGTTTTCCTTGCTACAGATGACTGTTTACGTTGCACCCCATACCTTTAGCATCCGGCATCTGTCTCATAATTTCCTCTCTCTCTGCTTGTTCAGTAGCTGTAGTGACCCTGAATGACCCCTCTCTAGTAAATGTTGTTCTGCTGGCATCAAAGGTGGCAGTCACTCCACACTCCTTCTCCCGCTTCTGCTTTCGCTCCAGGCACGCTGCAAATGCACAGCCCACGGCATGACTCAGCCTTTCCCCCTGCACAAGACAACATTGCATCATAGGGTAACTGGACCAGAAACATATATGTGCTTCAAGCGTTGCAAAGCGATAACCTCCCTTCACAACAGGAAGGGCAGGTTAGGGAATTAAGGCATGAAAAAGAACTACTGTAATTGGCCACCTTTTGTATTGCTCTAAAATGAAACCTGGTATATAAAGGCTCCCAACTCCTAACGCACAAGCAGTGTTAAAGAAGGCCACCCAGAAATGAAAGAGATTGTCAGATAATCTGGTTAGTTCAACTACTACTGAGATGCTGGTGCGATAACGTGCCTGCACCCATCCCTTGCCTCTGGATACGTTCGTGCACAAAGAAACTCTTGTGAAGCCATCTTAAGCAGATCTAAGTCCTGAAGGACAGATAAGTGCTTATTCTTGGATGGAGGAAGTTCACAGAGGGCTCAGGGAGACACTATCGTTGTGTGCAAGCGTGAAAATTAAAAGCACAGTGGTGACTACTTACACCTCTTAATGGGTCTGACCAAATGCACAAGTTAGTACTGAGTGCCTTCTGAAAAGCACTTCCATAATTAACCAGTAAGGTCAAAAGGATCCACTGTCCAATAACTGCAATAAGGAAAGGAAATTCAAGTCGGAGGAAGTCCCAGCAATCAAGCTGACAGGGCAGCTACAGTTGAGTCAGAGGCACTGTTCCTACCAGTAGCTCAACTCATCTGTTATAATCAGTATGTGAATTGACCTGTTATTCACAGAGGAAAATAGAAATGCTTCAGCTCTAACAAAAGTTTAACTGGGAATGTCTGACTTCATTGTTTTTCTTTAAAGAAAAATGATAAATTGTCAAGTGCAATTGGCTCTGAACATGCAACTATGTTGATTACACGCAATAAACTTGCATGAGGTTTCAAGCACTTTGTATAATATAGGCAGGATCCAACAAAAAGCAGAAATTGGAAAAGGCCAGATCAAGAAGTTAAGTTATTTAAGTCTACACAGCAAGTGACTGATAGGGGTAACTCACTTGTAAAACCTTCTGCTGAAAAAATCTTAATTGCTTAGAAGCAAACAACATTCTAATTTAATTCAGTTTCGCTCCATCCCTTAACATTCAGATGACTTTCCACGCAATACAACATTCATATACAAGAAGCTGCATTCATATCTTGTCTCGCTATGATTTTATCCTGGAAAAACTGTCATTGCTGTTTCAGTTTTTGGCTGTATACATTTTCAGATGAGAATATCTTCTATTTTTAGAAGAGTAGTTCCCTTCTGCTAGAGATATCTGAGGCTGACTGCATTCCATTTATACACATGCTGGGCACTGTTACTCTCCACAAGACAACACCACAGAGGGATGGCAAATAATTCAGCTACAAAGAATTTGAACTATAAGGATTTTCAAGGACTAATATTTTAGCTGAAGTCAAAACCACGTTGCAGTATGCTAGGTAGTTAATTTTTCTGAGTACCCAGCTAAAAGCTAGAAGAGTTGGATACACTCTGTGTCACCCTTACCGTGTCCTTTACGGCCATAAAGCAGTGGCATATCCAGCGTCTCGTCGTGCCGTCGCGACAGATGTACGAGAATGCCCGGTCAAAGTTCCTGTCTGGTGCGCAGAAAGAAACCTTCTCTATTGTCTGATCAACTATAAGATCCTAGAGGGAAAAGAATGTCCCCCCCCGCAATAAAATACATGTGAAGAAATATGGAGAAACACTTAGACAGGTCATTTTCAGTGTTAACTGCAAGCAGACAAGTTATACTAAAAAGAAGATGCCTCCTGATGTGGTGATAATTATCTGTCAATCAATTCACCATTCAGAATTCTATTCCCAGTATGAAACAAAAAGGACAGATGACATTTTCCACCTTTGACAGAAACACGCCAAGGCAGCACTTCAGAATTCAGGGACCCAAGCAATTCCTAAGATCTCTCCTCTAGACTACAGAGCTCACATTTTCATTTTGTTTTTTTTACAGCAGCTCGAATAGTCTTACAATCAAAAAATCTTTACTGTGGTTAAAACTCAATCTTGAAACTCAGGGAGAGGCCTGCAAGTGTGAAAAGGTCTAGCAGCTGCTACAAAAAAAAGAAAAGGAAAAGCTGACTTGCCAATTAGCTAAGCAGGGGTGCAATGGAAAAGCACCAACAGCACTGGTAGTACCAAACACCTCTGATTTGTCACCATAGACTGATGGAAGAAGTGTTTCTAAAACAGAGATTGCATAGTTTAAGAATGATGCCATCTTAATTGAAAATTGTTTTTTCAAAATATTTTATTTTGGTTGGTGGTTAGTCCTTGGCACCTGTGCTAATGTAATCAACCACCAGGAGGCAACAGTATATTCTCTTTTTAAGTTCTATACTTTTAATTATCTCCAGGGTCTGCATAACTCATTAAAATTCAATCTTAAAAGATTAGATATATGCAGTAAGATTTCTAAAAATAATACATGTATTAGTCTTTTTAAATGAGGCAATCAGTAGACTGAATTCACCTACATCAGTATGATTGTACCAGAAACTGAACTCTTAAACAGAGTAATTTCAGTGCTGAAGAACCACACTGTAACAGCAGACCTGGAGAAGTCTAGTCACAGAGCAGGTATGTGACAGGCAGTCATACTGCAGAGCTATATGAATTATCTCTACCTGCTTCTCAGTGTTGGCTTGCAGAAACCATATTTAGGTTGACAAAGTAAGCATTAAATGACATGAATATAACACTAGCTGATTTCAGACTAATGAAACTAAAAATTGTTCTGACAGCCACACCATCTTTTAAAATACTTGTATGCTTATAGAGGCAAGTCTAACTCTCTTATTTCCAATTGCCTACATCTAGATAAAACCCAGAATTGTTTGCTATTACTTGCACACAGGTGCCTCCATGGCATGTGCTGTGCTATTTCACAAATTTAAAAATTGTACAACAATCTAGAAGGATGCCACAATTCACTAGGCTTCCACTTCAGATATTAGAAGTTATGAAATTTGATACTCAGTTACTATTTAGCTTGAGTCTGAAGGCATAACCCCCTGACTCTCTGAATTGCATTTTTGGAAGTTTGCTTTTGTTCATTCAGACCCATTCTAGGATTTGGATGCGCTGAAAATTATATTGATTAACATGATTTTGCTCATGTGTCACTGCTGTAGCTTTCTGCAGTGGTGCAGAACAAGGCACCAAGGGATCCTCCGAGTTCAACGTCCACAGAACTTAGCAGAAAAAAAAAGTATTCTCTGGTAAATGCAAAAAAAAAAGTACTCCAAACTTATGCTACTTGCCAGATTTTATGAAACGGGTCTTGAAAGCAGTGTGGAATTAACTTGGAAAAAAAAAATAGCAGGCATTCATATGTTTGCAAAGCACAAAATTATTAAACTAATTATACACTTCAGTCTTCCTTTCAAATAACATTTGCATTAATGTAATGATTTCTATCAATTTAAAGTTATAGCACAGACATAATTATAGAGAGATTTAAAAAACTTTTGTCTAAGGGAATCTAACCTTTGTTTTCTCATCTACAACTCGGAGTCCATCCGCCGAAACCCACAGGACTGCTTTAACTGCCTTCTTCCCAGACTTTCAAAAAAAAAAAAAAGAAAAAAGGAAAAATCCAGTTTTACACCAATAGCATCATACTGGAACCCACTTCCCCTTTCCAAGAACCAGAACATTAAGTGTAGATGAAGTCCACAGTCAGTAGGGTGCCCAAAGCCAGATACACAATCCAAGTTGCAAAACTTTCAGAGAACCAAACCAAAGCCAGTATTTCAGAAATAAGTTGTGGGGATGGGGAGAGGGCACAGGACAGGTGGAGGTAAAAACAAAGTGTGCATCCACTGACAGTACAGAATTCAAGAGTGACCAAGTGGGTGAGGAATTCCACTAAAGAGTCAGAAGAGACTAATTCATAAGGAGTTACACCACAGGTAGCTTCTTTAGCACAAGTTTAAACATCAGAAAACTCTTACCTGGTATTTCCACCAGCCCTACCCTCTGCCCCAACAGTCACGTGGCAGAACCATGGCATCACTTTAAACCAGTGTCAAAAGCACCCAAAAATCATCAGTTACTCTGTTACGAGCTTAATGCTACCACCAATCAGCCAAACATGTCACTAATTGATGTGAGAGCTCATGTTGGATCTTGGAGGAGAGGTAGAAAAATACGACTTGTTAACCATTTGGTGTGTATCTTGAAAAAGCCCCGGTGTGTGGCAGGCTGACGCAGCAGGAGTGCTCTGGCTTTTATCCAAGATCTGACTGTGGGAACTTTCAGCTGCCACAAGCTGAGGGTAAGTAAAAGTGGGAAACACAGGAAGGCTTCAGAAGCCGTTTAAACTGCAGATTCTTTCTAGACTGTTTACTTTCTCAGGAAAAGTTACAGAAAACAATATAAACATTTGACACAATATTCTTCTGAAACTTATTCATTGAACAGAAAGTAGTTACAAGATGTCAACATAATTTTACTGGTTGTTACAGAAAACTACTACTAGCAATTTTTAATATTTTTTTTTGATATGTGGCTACAATTCACAAGCCCCATACTTTAAGCCAGCTAATAACATATTCTCCCCGTAAGTTTTTTTTAAGCACTGAACTTATATTGTTTGTGGCTGCTAATGGTACCCACCACAGACTACTGCAGGGAGTGAAGACAGCAACAACAACAAAAGATCAGGAGGTATCAGCTTGCAGCTTCATGCAAGAATAGCAATTAATTTTTTTTAATAGTTCATTGCAGATGTACATCTTTTGTCTTCATACAGCAACTAATGGAGCAAGGATACATTCTGGCAGAAACTACCACATGTTCCAAGTCTGCAACGCTGATTTTAACACCGTGAAGTTCAAATATCTTGGAGTGAAATGTCTCCTATTATATCACATCAGTGTCATTTTCAGAGAAAGCAAGTGTGAAGAAAATGGGCCTGGCAGAACTTCTGTTTGTTTTGGGGCAGGAACTACCTGTCCCAGTTTCAGAAGCAGCAATGACACCCCGAGCATTTTCAAAAAAGTTTGGTGAGAAAAGAGAACAGCACTAACTTGTATGGAAGAGTGATTAAAAGAGAAAACAGAGAAAATAAGCACAGCATGAGAGCAAGCTACTGAGAAGTGTTGGCAAAAGCAGCTTTCTAAACGTCAATCTAGCCTGCTGGATACTCCAGAGAAGGTTTAAAGTAAAACTGTCAGATTCTGTAATGCCGAATGGAAGAAGTATAGTTCACAAGGGAAGATGTACCTAAATTTACCATCATATGTGTTAAAAAATGTTGCAGCATTTAAAAAAAAAAAATCACTTCATTTTTGGTCTTAAAAGGCAGTAAATATCAATACCCACAAAATCAAGTCTATCTTCTCAATGCTGAGCTATTTTTCATAGCGTAAAAGTCCCTATTATTACCAAACCAAAATGGTTTGTAGAGGTCATAGAATCATAGAATTATTTGGGTTGGAAGGGACCTTAAAGATCATCTTGTTCCAACCCCCCTGCATGGGCAGGGAGACCTTCCACTAGACCAGGTTGCTCAGAGCCCCATCCTGGCCTTGAACACTTCCAGAGGGGACAGCCACAACTTCCCTGGGCAACCTGTTCCTGCATCTCACCACCCTTACACTAAAGAACTTATTCCTGATGTCTAACCTAAATCTACCATCTTCCAGCTTAAAACCAGTACCCCTCATCCTATCACTACACACCCTTGCAAAAAGCCCCTCCCCAGCTTTCCTTTAGGCCCCTTCAGCTACTGGAAGACTGCTATGATGATTCCCCAGGCTGAACAGTCCCAAGGTCTGTCTCCTTTAACTGTTTTAAAAAGGAGTACCAGCTTCTTATAAGCTGTTAGTAGTCTTTAAATCTTTATTTCAAATAAATACAATTAATCAAGTAAAGACAATACCTTCAGGTAACTGTTTGGCTTAGATTACCATCTCTGGAAACAAGAGATACATGTGTTTCCCCAGCAAACAATAAAAACCTTGTTTCTGTAGAACTAGTGAACAGTTCCTGAAGATTTTATTAAAGGGTAACTAAGCTGGGGACTTCATAAAGAGGTACTGATATTCAACACATCAACTACTCCTTACCTGCTATTTTACCAAATGAGAAATTGGAAATAGCTAAGACATAAAATCTCATGTTTCTCAGAATAAACTTAAAAGGCTGAAGGGGCTGCCTGAATCCTCCACCCCCACTGGAAGCATAGGGTTCCTTATGCAAGATAACCAAACATGGGTTTGCTACACTAAGGGGAAAAATAAAACACACTATTATCTCCCAGTGTCTTTTCTAGATTTATGGTGGATACAGCACTTAGAAGGAGTAAGTCCTTACAGTGTATATCCCAAACCCACAGCTACTACTGTTGGGCAACATGATTTTTCCATCTACTGAATCCTCAGCTTATCTATGCCTACAAATTATGTATAAAAGGAACTTCTCCAAATCAGTTTATACTGCATATACATATCAAAGTACCCACCATACTCCATTATGGGTGGGATATTGCCACGTATGTTGCAATTACAGAGCAGATACAAGTATTTGCACTCCTGGCACATACCGGACAAAGATCAGAGTGGATGTAAGACACTGCATGGGAGGTGAACTTCAACGCAGGATCACAACGTGTGTAATCAACACTGAAAGGTGTGTGTTTATTGACTACAAACAAAAATATGTAAATCAAACGGCCAACATCCACTGGAACAGTGTGGTCTTAGGATGTTGCTACTAAGGGACTTGTCTAGACATCCATATCAGTAGCTTGTCTTCAAGAACTTTTGGATGACAGCACTGCTGGAAGAGAGCCACATGTGGCACCAACTCTGGGTTGTCAGTGCTGAGTCAGTCCTGATAGAACCCTTGCTGCTCAGCACTTCTCAGGGGATCAGTAATCTGCTCCAATAGGAGATCTGTTCTAATTTTAGAGTCCTGAAACATCTCCAGGAGGAGGGTGGATGAGGCACCCATCCCAACAGACAATGAGGTCCAAGGACAAAGCAAGGACCACTGTGAGTTGGGCATGAAGGACCTGTCCATCCAAGCTGGCAATGCCCTAGAGATGGGCATCTGCACAAAACAACCAAAAACCAAACCACCAAACAAAAACAACAACAAAAAAAACCAAACCAAACAACCAAAATAAAGAAAATTAAGTGGACTAAATCTGATATGTGTATTTCCTAATCAACACTTTATGACATTTTAACTGTTAGACGTGATAGAACATGAAGGTAAGCAGTAACTATATTGTAAGGTGGAAAATAAAGTTTTAAGCATGCCAGAGCAGAACTAAAGTTCTCTAATAATGCATTTTTAAAAAATACTTCTAAATTGTTTCTAGTCTTTCTGCCTATTTTATTCTGTTCTGAGACTTACAAACAGCTGTAAAAGGAGTCTGAGGTGCATATAAAATGTTTCATTTCAGACTTTGTATAAACCATTGTGTCATGAGAAATACCCGCGTTTAGTGGAAGCAAAACAGGAGAAAGATCACCAAATCTGTACTATTATTCATTAAAACAGAAAAGGTTTAGTTTTAAAATATGAAGGGCTGCCTAAAAAAAAGCAGTTGATTCAGTTATGATGTATATGCTGCACAAAACTGCAGAAGTCTAAGCTATCGCTATCAACAGACATCTCTTATTTAAAGTTTAAAATAAAGTATTTTCAATACATACACTTAAATCTGATGGATTTGTGTCCAAAAACGTTCATCTTTTAGGGGGAGAAAAATATGGACAGGTAAAGTAGTAAACCTGCCTGGACTGACTTTGAAAGCTGCTAGTGTGTTTTAAGCAGCTCTGCAGTTTGGAGTATGACATTAATCCCAATGCAAGGCATCTGCAGAGCAATTATAGCTGAGACAGCCAGAAGATATTAGTTATTAGTATTTATCAATCATTAATGAGAGAACAGCTGTCTTATTTTTTTTTCATTCAGTTTTCCCCTAGATTTGCCCTACCATTTTAGGCCAAAGCTGTAAAAAGCTGTAATAAAGGCATTGCCATACAGATACTGTAAGGATAACTAAACACTATGGCTTGAAGTGGTTTCACTGCTAATTAATGAAATTTCACAGGCTGAAGCAGAAGTCAGTCTCTCTTTGGCAAAATATTGTAATAAAAGACAAAGTAAATCTACAAGACTGTGGCAAAGTATCAGACCTCATTAAAAAAGTAACTAAGATGTAATGAGGAAGTTGGCATATTTAATATATAAAAATCTGTTTTTGACTTTTTAAATTAAGTACTATGAAAATATCTGTAATTTTAAGTCTTTGCTTTCTTCTGTATACTAAGCAAAGTTCATACCAACAACCAGAAGGAAAACTAACATCTCTGATCATGATAAGGTTGGGGATTTTTCTGTTTGCTTGTTTTAAACAAATTGTAAATAGTATTTAGCATTTTCAGTTGTAAAGCAAACATGTTTTTACTCCAACCTGTAGATTCCAGCTTTTAAATTTCATTTGCACATAGGAATGATCTGATTAATCTGACATATCTCCCACCTATGCTATTTTGGCCCTAAAAGCAAAACAAACCATCACTACACTTTAAATGTGTGATTTACCAGATCATAGGAAGAAACCTGAACTGGGGAAACATCTGTCCCTGTGTGACCAAACATCACTATCTGAGTGAAAGGTGAAAATGAAGCAGCTGAAAAAACCTTTTTTTACTCCCCCAGCAAAAGCCAAAACAAATTAGTGACCAGAGAATAATCTGCTCCAAAAGCCTTTTGTATATATGAAAGTTACAAACCTGCTACTTTCTATTTATGTGAAGATTAATTCTATAACAAGATACTTCAAAAGCTATTTTAATTCCATATGAGAACCAAAATAAAAGTTTTACAGGAATTGTAAACACACAGGTAGGGAACAGATGAGAGAGAGCTCACTCAGAGGTCTACATGTACTGCCTTGAAGAGATGTAGACAGTAGAAACAAAACCACCCAGCTGCCAGTACAGGACATTCTTAATAAGGATAAAGAGTTCCTTCCCTTCACATCTAAGACACTGTCCTCATAAAAAATAAGAGCAATGACAGAAACAGTAAATTTTTTCAGCTGTGCAGTTGAACTCCAATTAGACAAATATAGTAGGTAAACATCTGGTCTCATCTTCATATACCTTTGAATACCTTACTATTCAAGCACCTAATAGCTTAGGATTGTGCTCAAAACCAAAAGGTTTAAGAGATGGAGTGTGCAGGCACACTGCTTTCTCCAAGTGCTAACATTTGGGGGTCAACTCATGGAGCAGCTGATCATGAAGCGCATACAAGGCACAGATCCCAGGTGGTCTGTACTTATTTACCCAGGTGATGTAGGCTGGCACAAGTTTAATGATCGAAAAAGGAAAATACACATTTTATTGAGGAAGACCAAATCACTTCAACAATGCATTTCCCAAACAGTCCATATGGATTTGTCCATAAGTTTCTGTTTCAGGTTGGTTTTTTGACCATATTCTTTGTTTGATCAACTTATTTCTGAGTCTGTTTTAGAAGCAAATATTCTGAAATGGATTAGGGGACTCTAAACACCCTGATTTTATGGCAGTGCTATACCAGGGATGTAACTCCTTATAGTGCAAGCACAAACAAGGCATTAAACTTACTTTTCCAAAGAAGCCTTTGAAGAACTTCCTTTCCTGGAGGAACAGGGGGGACAAGTCGAGCGCTATTACTGTAGGTAGCTAAAATGTCCCAGGGTTTCAAACCAACAAGCACACACAAGAATAGGGTTTGGAGGGAAAGGAAGGGGTTTTTAGAGTTATCCATGAGAAGGTGCGACAGGCAAATGTGAAAATAATCCCATGAAAATGCAGATCAAAGGGCACACACACCGTTCTAAGAAGCTACTGCCCTGAAATTGGTGGAAAGAAGAGAACCTCAGTCCCAATTTCATGCAAAGTGGTTACTTTATTTTCACTCTCCCTTGTTTAGTCCCCTTTAGTTAGGTTATAAACCAAACTTGGCAGCAGACTTGGTGGTTAAACAATTAAAATACTGTATGGGCTCTTGTGAAATGCAAACTTCTAACTCCAGAATTACAGGCAAGTTTGCTCTGTATTGATCACTCTTTC